TGAAGTCCATGACTTAGTTTATTTCAAAATTTTATCCTTGGCGTGTTGTATTAAGGGATATTTTGCTATCTGTCATCTTTTTGATGACTGAACAAAATGGATGGCCTTTATTAACTGTTAAAAGGATGAGGTATGGGGTTTTTAAATACATCAATGTTGTTTAGAGCAGATGGGTAAAGAATTTTTTTTGCCAAATGAAGTTGGAATATGAGTTCTTACAGTTATCCATCACTGATGTTATTGATTCTTTTTGTCACATATGTAGGATAAAGAGGGATAAATATTAACTGCAATTCAATTATGTGGGAATTATTAGACCTTGTAGACATTATTTAAGTGAACTCTTTCTACCCTATGTTTAGTATCAGGGAAATGGAGGTGAGGGAAAATTTTAATGGGCTCGATTTAAAAAATTGAAGTGGGGGTTAAAAACTATTAATTAATTTTTATTACTTTTTTATCTTACATCTTCTCTTTATTAAAGTTTTAAAATCTCACTTCTCCAACTTTATAAATACGATAGAGCAATGAACAACGAATTTTATGAGAGACCGAGTTGAGAAATACCCTATCTGTGAAAGACCAAGTTAAGAGGGAAATTCTGTGACTTAAAGTTGAGAAATGCCTTATTTGTATAGGACAAAAGTAGTGTTTTACTTGCTTTCTCCTCACAACTTTCTACATAGAATGCATGCCAATTTCAGGTCAAGCTTTTTGTTATTTTTACAAATCAAACTGGTTATTTAACAGTTAAGCTTTTACCATTGTTCAAACATGATTGGATCTTGCTTCTGGTGCTATATTTCTGAAAAGCGATCTAAAATATAAGTGGAGAAGTAAGCACAGTGCCAGAAGGGCAAACAGTCCATGTATCATAAAGTTGTTTTGAAAATGGTCATCGAGACAGGATTTAGTTCCTCTTATTTCTGTCTCTTATTCTCAGATGTACTGCTATGGGTTGAGTTTTTTTGTGAGAATTAGAAATGTAGCCTCAAGACCTAAGTAGAATGCAGAATAAATAGAATAACTTTTTTGCGCATGATTTCGGCTGCAATTACTGTAGTGATACATTACTAAATACTGGGGGAGTTTTGTTTGCTGAATATATGATATAGGCGTTTAAGCAAAGGGATTTTATCCCACTGTAATGTCCTAAGGGGATTAGAATACTCATATCAGTATAGGATTTTGATAACATTTGATTTAGAATACTCATCAGTATCAGCATGACATTGTATGACTTTATTTTTCTGTGCTAGATTTATTTCATATTTCCGGCTTTCTGATTCTTGTCCTGCATCACTAGTTTACAGCTTTATTGTTTATAATGTGTGATTTATGTGTTTCTTGAGTGTGTTGTGGCCTTGGGCATGACGTACTTGTGCATTTTTAGTGTGGTTTAAGCGTGTAGAAAGCTAGTTGTTGGGAAATGGAATTTTGTAAATGCTAGTGCGTCTTCCTATGACTGAGTGGCATGGTCTGAAATCACTAATGACTTGCACTGACTCAACCAAACCAGTTATTAGTAGAGCTTTTAATCATTTTTTGTTCCTTTTTTCATATGTCTGATATTTGATTGCTCATCTGCACCGTCTGATACTTTGTTTCCTATAGAGACTTTGTTCAAATGCAGAGAAGGATTTGACTTCTAAGAGATTAGCATTTGAAGATGAGAGGAACCAGTATGCTATGGCAAATCGTTCATCACCTGCATCATCTGTGGATGAGATTCAACAAGAAATTTCTGTTTGTTCGCTATCCCACTCATTTTGCTTGTCCTTAACAGCTGTTAAAAGTTGTTTCCTATCCCTTGAACATAAATCCAACATTTAAATATGAACATTCTTTGTGACAAATTATAATTTATATATACACACACATGTTTGTGTAACTTTTATATACGGGTGACTTCTATTTAGTAATTGGCAGCTCATTAATGCCTTTCGTGCATAAATACTGTATATTGTACTGTTATTTGTCAGATGTTGACCTCTTGTAGTTGTTAACTTGTGCTATTCTACCTGTTATTTTGTTGTCAATTTTAATAAAGTCTACCTTTTCCTATTATTGGATGCCTGTTTTCCTAGTTTTATGGATCTATCACCTACCTTTATGGGTTCTTTAGGAAGGATTCCTTGGCTTATAAGGAAAAGAATCGGAATACTTTTTGGAGCTGACATTTTTCTTGTTATTTTGAAACTGTGTCATAAATGCATAATACAAATTTTTGTGCTTTTAATATAATAATATTTGTTGTATTTATTGAATACTAGGAAGTCCAACATGAAATACAAAAGAAGAAAGAGATGTTGAAGGAATGTGAGGACAGGATGAATGAAGCAGCAGCGAAGGAAGATCAGCTTAAAATATCATTTAAAGAACTATGTGGTTTGATGCTACTAGTTTCGTCTTTTATATTGAGCATGTTATTTTACATCTTCCTTCTATGTAGAAGAATTGATATATGTACCTTTTTTATTGCATGTTATGTTGATTATGATGATTATATAGCATCGACACAAGACGAGATCAATGCCCTTGAGAAAGCGGAGAATGAACTAATGCAGATTGAACAGGACTTGCATTCAGCAGAAGAGGTTTCCTTCCATTATGTCCGACATGTCCTTTTCAATGCTCAAATGTCTACTAATCTTTACTTGTCTTTTAATTTCATAGGAGAAGGCTCATTATGATGGGATCATGCAACGCAAGGTACTCCCAGATATCAAGGAGGCAGAGGCACGCTATATGGAGTTTAAGAAGCAACGGGAGGTGCTTTTTGATACACATTGGTGATATTAATTAGGAATTAAATTTACCTTAAAAAAGCTAAAGGCATATGAGAATTGAAGCAGTCGTTTTGTTAGAGATATAAATCAAATCTTCTTATGGGTTTGAATAGGGGCCTTATGAAAGTTTGATTAGTTATTTAGGCAAGAAAATATCCCCAAGATATATCCATCATCAAGACATCCCACAGTCAGGCTTCGTCTACAAGCTTCCTATCCTAGAAGTTGATTCTTTCTCATTTCTCCAACACTTGACTAAGCGTGTGAAAAAGATTTATACACCCTTCCCATCATCTTGACTCTAGAAATTTTCTGAATTATGAGAAACCAAAATGATGGTCTTTGGGTTCCCTCTATAAGGAAATACCCAGATAAACATGTGGCTACTAAAGAGCATGACAACCCTATATTGCTAAACTTGTGAGGATCATGTAAAACAATGATGAAGATAAATGTAGCATAAGATGCCTAAGATCTACATTTAGGAGTATGGGATGCTCTATGGGATAATTAAGTGGGCTAATTCTTCCACCTTTTCAAAGGAGCATTTTCCATGCCACGCGAGTACCTATCAATCGGTATTAGGTTTAATGAGTGATAGTACTGAAGATGGCTAACTGCGGAGGGTTCTAATGAGCAAGGAAGCTTGAGGATGTGTCATAGAGTGGAGCCATTGGGTTGTTGACTCTTCAAAGATTTATGGAGACTAAGGGCTTGTCTAATATATCGTATGGGATAAGGCTTGATGGTGCAAAACTTGATAAGATGTTGATATCTATATTCGATGTAACATTGTTTAACCTAGTATTTTATAAGATTATACTATCTAATGTTAGGTTATATTTTATAACACTAGATAGGATTAAAATTAACTCATTTGAGAAAATAGCTTTTAGTTATATTTATAATATATTCGTATAAAATAGTTATATTGTTTTATTATATTAATTTTTAGAGAACTAAATTTTTTTTTAAAAATGTTCGGATAATTATTATTTTTTCTTTTGCTTTTTACTATATGAAGTTTTAAATAACCTACCAAGTAGTTTGTCCGTCAATTCTAAACATCCAATTTTCATTAGTTAATTTCATTAATAAAAGTCTGGTCACCAAAAAAAACTTCCAATAGCTAAGCACAAACATCTGTCCTACCTATTGTGCGTGCCATTATGTGATAAGTGGTAGAGGGATTTGTAGGAAGAGCTAGGCTTATCATGATCCACCAAATACAAATAGCACCTGGCCATATGATAGCCTCCTTCAACAATATCAGCCCCATTTTTAGTCTTGTGAACCATAACTTGTCTTCAATATCACTGTGAAAAAGGGAGACATTTCATTGCTTGTATTTCATGGACTGAGAATCAATTCTCTCAGGTAAAATGATCACGCCTGCCATGTATGATAAAGATGCATCCATAGTAAAATTTGTAAACTTCAAAAGTGGCCAAAACTCGATAAATCTGGATCGCAATTTCTGTCCATATTTTCTTGGCAAATGAGCATGGCGCTTTATGATCTTTACCCAATAGTGATTCCATATAGCCCGGTCTTTTCATTTCTGGGCAATCAAAGGCCTCGTGTGTTAGTGCAATAGCTTGAGTGCATTTGTTCCCTTGCGTCTGGGGCCCTTTTGGCAAACAAACTCCAATGCCTAAGTCTGGCATTGAAGTGGGTATTATGGGATGCTGTATGGGATATTTAAGTATGTTAGTTCTCCCACCTTTGTAGCTAGTTTTTTGGAGAGGATTCCTCACCCCACCTGAATATCCATCAATCCAAAAATACTAATTGCCAAATTAATCTCAAATCAAAAGATAGTCTTAAAAATTTGAGAATAAAGAAAGCATTTGCAAGGTATTTAATGGAGATCAAGGGAGTATGAATTTGTAAGTTTCATATTGAGTAGTATAAAATGCTCCGTAATGTTGCTTGAAAAGAAGGGTTTGGTGAAATTAAAAGGGTATCATTTGATTGCTCACTTGTATCAACTTTTAAGACATAATTGAAGGAAAAAATAAAACTATCATCTAGCTGCTCACTGTGCATTATTGACCGTTTAGACAAATTAAGGGGAAAAGGATTTTTCCTAAATATAACTAATTTCTACTTTGGTTGAGTATTGCAGGAATACAACAAAAAGGCTTCTATAATTTGTTGTGAGGATGAACTTCAATCTTTAGGAGGTTGTGATGGCGGTACCCCAGAGCAACTCAGTGCACAGATAGAAAGACTATCTCAGAGGCTCAAGCGTGAGAGCCAAAGGCATGGCATTTTGATTTATGTTCATTTTCAATTGTTGAAATAGCTTTGCAAGTTCTGCTGACCCCATATCTTTAATTCTTTTCTCCCTTGGTAGATACACAGAATCACTAGATGATCTTAGGACGCTGTGTGAGAAAAAAGAACGCAAGATTATGAGAAAGCAGCAAGCTTACAAAGCCTATCGAACAAAGTTAGATGTATGTACTTTGGCTTTATTCTTATCATGATAGATTCCTGGTGGATATCGTGGTTTCTAGTTTTGAAAAAATGGGTGTCTGTAGCTTTTACTTGGCTAAGTTTATTTTATCTTGTGTCATTGTAGTTCCTAAAAATTATTGCTCTTGAGAAAGTTGACATCAATTTCCTTCCTCCCTTCTATTAAAAACTTCTAATTGAAACTTTATAGGTAGTGCCTTCTAGAAAATCATATATTGAAGAAGCAACCTCAATAATATTTCCTTTTCACTTTTACATGTATGCTTGTATAAAAATTTTTAAACCAGGTAGGGAAGATGCAAATCCTAAAATTATATTGGCACCAAATTATGATACTCTTTCAATCATATTTCAAGGAATATGATTTGTATTGCTTTATTCTTTCCCCAAGAAATCATTACGTTGGAAATGGTGATATATTCTTTGAAGATAAGATTTTTCTGTTATCATTATCTATTTTGTAATTTTAAGATTTAGTATTTAAATAATAAGTTGTTAGTATCTAAATTCAGATTGTCAATAACTTTATTATTATTCCTATCTTCTTGGACTACACTTAACCCCAGTAGTCTATAAAATGTATTAAACACCCATGAATAGAATTCAAAGGTTGAGTCACAAAATAGGCTTCATTGTTTCATACGGTATCAGAGCCTATTACTCCCCTTGCTTAGGTTTTGATCAGATGGAAGCCATGAATGCCGTCACTCATGGCTCAAAAACAAGATCGCATAACTTAGGCATTACTATGCCTTCCAGGTAGGGGTCAACAAACTGTGTTTGCCTCCTAATGTTCATTACAGGAAGTGGAAAGGAGTACATCAATTGAAGAGCAAACCCACCAAACAGCAATGATCCCATATATGCTACTTCGAGAGCCAAAAAATAAATCAAGTGATGTCCTTGCTTGTGGACTAATGACCCCTGGGATTAAAATGGCAAGAGGCATGAGAGGCTGCTCATGACTCATTCTCCTCTCTCTCTAATATTGCTATTCTGTTTGAGATCTGTGAAGATATTAGAGGATTTACTCATTACTGCGTAGATATTGCAATTTGTCTCGTAATCATTGGGATGTGACCTTTTTCTGTAATTATGAGCATTATTTTCTCATTATGTACCATTTAGCCTAGGCTATTCTCTGTGTGTGTGTATATATCCTTTCCTTAGAATAAATTAAGGAAGCTATTCAAATGGTATTCGTCTATATGGTATCAAAACATTCTTTCTCTACGCTTGGGTTCATGTAGCTCATTTCATGCGTTGTTTTATATGTTGTTCTGACTCTTTCCCCTTATGTTGAACAATTGCGCATCTCTTCATGGTGTTCATATTGTTGAATTGTTTCTTATGCAATGTTTTAATCATTATCTTTGCCTGGCTCTAATCCTAAATCATCAAATTCTTTTTCTACACTTTCATTGTAGGCTTGCCAGAGAGCCTTGGAATTACGAAGAAACAAGTTTCGCAGAAATGCAACTTATTTGAGGCGTTTGTTGTCTTGGAAGTATGATTTTTCTCAGCATGGACCATCTTTTCCTGTTATTTTTCACCGGTACATTGATGTTATATTTATATTGAATCAAATCATTTGTTGATTAGATTCAATGCCCATTTGGGAAGAAAAGGATTCAGTGGAGTTATCGCAGTCAATTATGAAGAAAAAACCCTTTCAATCAAGGTAAGCTATTCTCTATGCTCTATTATGGTCTAAATGTAAAAAGAAAGAAAAACATAAAAAGGTCTAAAGCAAGAATCTTCATATAATAGGTGTGATTTCAATTCCATTGCCCTCTTTTACCCTTCCTAGGTTTGGCTCATCTGTTACACGTGTTTGTTCTCTTTTATCCTCTATGTCTAGGTGCAGATGCCTCAAGATGCATCAGGGTGTGCTGTTCGTGACACTCGAGGCCTTTCAGGTTAATTTCTTGCATCTATATATCTATGTATATATATTATGATTTGGTCAATAAACCTACACTAGTGCTCTTCGTTGCAGCTCCAATTTTGTTTTATGTGTAATTTGTGTGGCTTATCAATGATTGATCCAATCTTTTTTGAGGACTTAAACTACAATGGAATTATAATAAATTAGGCTCTTTTTTACATTTAGTTATTTTGTGTTACTAAATAGGATGATCCATTATGTATAATGATCCAATATAGATAGTGTTTATTCATGATTCCCATCATGTGTTTGTCATGTTCTTGTACCTTAAGTTCACCTATATTTCATGCTTCTATAGATTATATACAGTTCTTAGTAAATTATAATAATCAGGTCTATTTGTGACAAAATTAACTGTTGGAAGTATACGTTATCGGTTCCTCCAATAGCCTTCTTTGCGGATGACCATACCGTGTTAAACATCCTCAATAGATGCGTGTTAACTTGTCCTCTTATATGATCATTATATATTTTATCTTTGCTTGTATGACCACACACCTATCTTAACTTCCCTATCTTTGTTACATCCATTTTATGCTGATGTTGATGCAGTGGCAGTATGAGAAAATTTCCTTTTAGGAACCTTGCAATTACAAAGAAACGCCTTCCTCTATTTCATCTGCCTTGCTTGTATCCCATGTGTAACATCATTAATTTTACCATCATTTTGTATAATTGATCCCAAATACTTAACCTCTGTGACTTGTGTTATCATTTGCTCTTCAATCTTTACCTCGAAATCATTTCTAACTTGCCTTTTGTTAAATTTCCAATGCATTTATTCCATTTTAATTCAAGTGAAAACCCTTCAAGTCCGAAGTTCGCTCTATAACTCCATTTCCACAATCAAGACCGTCATTTGCGAAGAGTATGTACTTAGGGATTTCCTTTTGATTGCATTTTGTTATGACATCTAAAATCAGGTCAAGCAAATAAGGATGCAATAATGATCCTTGATACAAACCAATCCCTATAGGAGTAGATTCTGTCTTGCCTCCAAACATTCTTACACTAATTGATACCCTCTCATACATATCCTTTATAGTTTTCAAATAAGTTAACACGAACACCTTTCTTATCTAGAGCTTTCCAAAGTGCATCTCTTGGCACCTAGTCATAAGCTTTTTTATGTATATAGAAACCATATACAGATCTTCTCTCTTTGTTCCGTACTTCTCCATCAGCCCCCTCATTGGATAAATAGCCTCTATTGTAGGTCTGCATCTCTTGTAGGCATAAGTCCAATTTGATTTTCTGAAATACATGTCTCCTTTTGTGATCTGTGCTCCTTCGCGCTGTTCTATAATTTCATAGTATGGATCATATGTTTTATCCCCTAATAGTTTGCACAGTTCTGGGTATCCCTTTTGTTCCTATATATAGGAAGCCGCCACTCATCTGGCACTTTCTTTGACCTTAATATCTCGTTAAAAGGCTTAGTGATCCAAAAAATATCCTTCTCTTCTAAGCATTCCCACACATGAATAGAAATACTGTAAGGGGCAATGGCTTCTTTGACTTCTCCAACCCAAGTTCTGCACTAAAAAGCCAGGTTTTGTTCACTTTCATGGATTGTTAGATCTTGCATATCTCTAGTCAACCCCAATCCATCTTTGAAAAGTTTGCAGAAATAGCCTTCCCACCTTTCTCTAATAGCTTCATTTGTGACCAAAACATTTCGTTTGTCATCCTTAATACGTCTGTCTCTGATAGGACACTTATGCGGTAGTGGCATTTTTTAATATAAATTTATGACATTTCTCCCAATCTAATAGTTGAATTAAAACCTCTAGGTAGTTTGAAGGATAAAGTGCTGAGATACAATCTTAGATTTGCAGCTAAGCTTTTTATTCTGTTCCATTTTGTGTTTGATTTGGGCTGAGTCTGCTGTTGCCCCTATTCTGGGAGGAATGTTTAGCTTGAAACTGATTGACTTCAGCTTACATTTAATGCTTCCCCCATTTATTGAACATTTGAAGCTTCCTCTTTTCGCCCTTCTGGTCTTTGGCATGTATATTTTATTGGCTAATTCATGTTTATGAACTCTTGTGAGCTTTTGAATCAAGTTGACCCAGATTGTGTCAATTTTTCTAGTAGAGTTAGGTTCAGTCTTTATTAAGATTTTGGCCAAACTAGAGATATGAGTTACCAATTGTCCAAGTAAGTCATTATTTCCTAAAATTCATGATCATTGTTTTCTTTTTCTTTTTTTCTTTTGACAGAAATTGTTTTCTTTATAAAAGCCATGTGAAATCCATCTGTAGGCTTCCACTGAGAGAAGTGAACCAAACAGAAATGTAATCAGTGATGCACCTTGTAAAATGCAGATTCTAATTCCTTCCCCCTTTTCTACTTTTCGTCCTTCTTATGAAAATAATCTCATAGAATTTATATTAATATTAATTAATACTTTTCAAATGTTAATAATTTAATTATCTAATTGTAATTGTAATTGTAATTGTAAACATAAATCAATTTACTATCTGATTAATGTTAGCTTGTGTTTGGGAATGTTTTTGCTATATAGATCACATTATAAGGATAATCAGGTCGTGTTTGATTACCGTACAGTTTTTATTGATCCTAACACTTCTTCGGCAATCTGAGTCTTATATGCCGGGGAGGAATGGCATTGTTGTGCGAATTAATGTTGCTTTGTGCTTTTGTATGTTTTATTAATTATGTACCTATAAGGATTGTCATCGTTCCTTTCTCTATCAATTAAAGCTAATATTTAGCAGTCATTTCACGTTATTGGTTCCTTCTCTTTCTGGATTACAGGCGGGGAGCGTTCTTTTTCAACATTATGCTTTACACTGGCCCTTCATGATATGACAGAATCCCCTTTCCGCGCAATGGATGAATTTGATGTTTTTATGGTATGATCATGCTTTTCTGTCTCTTGTATTTTTCTCCTTATGTCTTTGTGATTGAAATTGGTAGTTGTTGGAAAAATCAACATTTCTTTCCATTCATCTTCAGGATGCGGTCAGTCGAAAGATCAGCTTGGACACTCTTGTGGATTTTGCTGTGGAACAAGGATCGCAGTGGATATTTATTACCCCACACGATATTAGGTACTAATTTTCTTCAAGTAGCCTTGATCTTTGTAGTCAGACGTACATTGATGGCGGTATCCCATCACATCCTAGTTATTAGTTGGTTATTTTAAAAGAGAGAATCTATTGAGCAATAATGACGAAGGTGTGATGCAAATTAGTGCTTTGTTTTCTGTGGATAGCCATTCCCTTTCTCATTGCCATGTGTTACCAAACATGCCCTAATTGCTGACTCATTCACTGGTTGAATGCCTGGAGTTTTCTCATCATCCATTTCATGAGAACCTGGTAATTGGATATAAGATCGTTGGTAATTCAACTACAGTTTTGGAATGGTAGGAGGGTGGGTTGAACTTTTGGTCACTAAGGCTCTGATATAGTTTATTTCAACTCGATAAGGTTAAATCTTTTAAAACTGAAGGGTTTTGAATAGCTGTAACTTTTCCTCCATCGAATTTCCCAGCATTATGCATTATAATATCCTGCAGTTATACTTCTAACATTTCCTTTTCATGCTTCTCAATGCAGTATGGTAAAGCAGGGAAACAGGATTAAGAAGCAGCAAATAGCAGCTCCTCGTTCTTGATCATCATCTGTTCCCCCCCCCCCCCCCCCTCGCTTTAGGTGTCTTCCTGAGTAATAATTCCCCTGCTTCATTTATTTAACCCGACACTGGTCAGAATCGTTCTGACCTTAATTTATATGTGTACAGAGATACGGTGCAAAGCGTTTTGCCTTTTAAGTTTGAGAATGATTTGAACTTCCTTGACTTGATATATTTGTATTTTTTGGTGCTTGAAGGGGAAGGCAGGCAGTGTACATATTCCTGTAGGCAGTAAAACTGAGACAAACTTTTCAGCTATATTCCACAATCAGGTATTGGAAGTCAACCAATGCATTGGAAGTTATGCAAGGGAAGAGACTATTCTTTCTATACTGATGTAGATAATGTTATGGCCTTATGGTAATCGTTATTTAACCCTCCTGATGGTATATATAAGATTTTTTTGGTTTTTTGGAGGACGACCTATTTTTATTTATAAGAGACACTAATAGCGTGTCTAAAATTTTCAATATTATTTTGTTTTTGGCCCTCAGATTTATTGCATTAATTATCAACTCGCTTTTTCTTCATAAAATTAAGGTTTGAGAAATAAATTACATTTTCCTTTTACATGTTTTTTGTTTTCAAACCAATTTTTTTATATGTAATTCAGTTATTTGTGCTTTATAAAAACGACCTGAGAGAGTAATTCTTATCCTTCCTATTATTCATTTTAAAAGAAAAACATGACTTGAAGTTGTTCATTTTATTTTTTTAACATCAAATGAACATATATAGAGAGGAAGGGGGGTTGGAGCGATTAGTTTTAACCATCCAACTATTCAAAATCACTGCAGATGAATAGCTTCAACTTGGCTCACATGCCACTGGTAAGAGTTTTTATCTGGCTATTATATTAATCATTAAGAGTATTCAGAGTTAAGTTACTTTGAAGGCTTAAAGAACTTTAAATTAACCTATAAAGATAAGAAAACACTTAAGTGAAAGATAATTTGCGACTAGGAAAGAACAAGGATAACTTGAAAATGATGGTGCTTGTGAAAGAGTAATAATTGGGGTATGAGAGTTAATTGCCAAACCGTCATAATAATCCAAAGGGAGGGAATGATGGGATGGTAATTGAATAAATAAAACAGAACTTGAAAATAATGTATTTATATCAATGTTTTAAAAGCTAGGCCGAAAATTAAATCGGAAAGATGAACGATTCACGGTTCTCATGGTTCAACTGGTTGGACTGGTGGTCGAGCCGGAACATAATAATTAAATAAAAATAATATTATACTTCCTTAAATCTTATATATAAGAAATTTTTTTCAGGGATGAAGGTCCATGACACATTGACACTAATACCCTATTTGAAATTTTTTATATATATTTTTTTATTTTGTCTCTATTAATTATTGGTATGCTCACTTTATCCCTTAAATAAGAATGATTTTAGAGGATAAATTACATATTTTATATATTTTAATCATATAATAATCATAAATAATTACAATATTATAACGTAAATATTTTTATAGCCTTTTTAATATATATAGCATAGTAAATCTTTAACTTTTGCAATTTGTACCAATAGATATAACTTTATCTCACAATTAATTTAATTTTTCCTTTGAAAAATAATATTAAAAAAGGTTTAATTAATACTCATTTATAGCACATGTCATCCTTGCTAAATCTACCTCTCCGTGCTAGCCCCAAAAAAAAAAAAACTGCCTCTGCGTACGAAACACGCTTCTCTATCTCCACTCCCGAGGTTTTATTTTCTTTTCTCCAATACTCCCATTCCATCACCTGCACGTCGTCTTCTTTTCTTCATTATAGATTAGGGAGGTTTTATTTACAGTCCAGATTTGCTAATCGTCGGGCACCCGATATGAGCTTCTTATCTTCTTCTAGCCTAGCAACCGTCTCCATGGCTATTCTTGAAGGGACAAAGGATGGGGATAAGATTCATATCCAGAAAAGCTTTTCTGCGTCTTCTCTCTTCTTCTCCATCCCTGCTCACAAATTTGAACCGGCCGGTTTTTCAAAAACCGCTCCAGTTTCAGGTTTAATTTCGACTTTCAGTTAAATGGCCGGCTTGAAACGGTCCAAAACGGCTCAAATGATAAAAGGGTCGAACCATGTGAAACGAGCCAAGAAATGTACCGGTCACTGGCCGGACTGATCCGACCGTCCAGTCCAGTTTGGTTTTTAAAACATTGATTTATATATTTTTGTGTGTGTGTGTGAGTGTGTTAAGTTATATGTTCTTTTAGTATATATATTTGCATGATTGTCAATTTGTTTTTTTTTTTTTTTTGGAATTCTCGTTCTTTAGTATCAAATATTTTAACAAATAATAAAATGACCTTGTTTTTGTGATAGTTTAAAGATAAGACAATCTGTAAGTATCGAATGAAAAATTAACAATAGAAACATGATACATAGGAAGAGAACTATAAGAATATAAATATAAATATTTAACAAGAAAGCATGATGATAAAATAATAAAAAGCATAAAAAAGGTTTGGATTTAATTCTGTTGAAAATAATAATTTAAAATGACATTTGAGTTTGGAAGATGGTGTAAATAAATGATGTTAGCTTGTCATTTGTTGGGTTTTATTAGTGTAATCAATAGTGGGAACTGTAGCCCAAAGCCTGTTTCTTTCTATTGTTTTTCGGTTTTCCTTCCGTTAAGCTGTGGGAGGCCGAATCATCTCGTTTAAGTCCATAAGTTATTAAGAAGCCCACTTCATCTTATTTGGATAGTTTCCCCAAGAGGAAAAAAAAAAAGGGGTATCGGGATTATGGTTTTTGGGGGCACATTGACCAGAAGTGAGAAGTATAACATCCCAATTTTCATTCTTCTAAGATTAATTTAGAACGAAATGTGGTGGTTGGAAGCATTTGAATGGATTAGGAATGAACATTTGGTCTATCTTGAGGTATAAGATGTCTAGAATTAGGTTAGAAGAGGCCACCCATAAGGATTAAGTTTGACAAAAAGAATTAATCCTTGATAACATGACAAACTAAGATTCAGCAAGTAAGCAATTCTAAACATATAATGATAATTGATTTAATCCTTTTCTATTATAGTCGCTATTGGGATTAGACATGAAATATAATATAAAAAGCCTAAATTATTCTTCCTTTGACCAAAATTTAATAAACATACTAGGCACTAAACTGGTCTATCAAAATCCAATATTTTGGAGTAGGATATTCTAAAATATTGCTTCTTAACCTTCTCATACATTGGGTCATCATCATTGGCTTTTGTGTTCACCTTTGCCCTACTAAGGGATAAGCCAAGCAAAATGTACACATGTTGTGGTTTCATTTCTTCTATCTTGCTATGGATTCAAAATCAATGCATTGGTGGATCATATACTCTCATCAAACTTACACAAACATTACAGGGGAATCTGTCATGCCTTACATCAAGCAACATTACAAATTCAATATTTTCCACTCTCTCTTAAATTACGAATCCTTGAATTGAAAGAGAGAGAGAGGTGTGCATTTGAAAAACTTACTTACAATTCCTTTTGATCTTTTCAATTCTTGATTACTTTGCCTTCTCAACATATTTTTCCTTTCCTCATTGGGCAATCCATTCCATGCTTTCAACACCCCTTCCTCAAATCTCTTAGACTTCTTTTAAGGTTTCTTATGAAGGTTTTCTAAATAATGTCAACCTCCTTTGCATGGATTTTGATGAACCTTCCTCATTCACCATGTTTCTTCTCCTATAAGAACAAAAAATTTATAGTCATTTACTGAACAATACTTATGATTAAGAACAAAGAAAATTTAGCATGCTGAAGGTGAGATTAGGATTATGAGTCAACAGAAAAGTAATGCACAAAAATTGGTTAGTTTGCTTAAGAAAAGGATATAGTGCCTGTTTGGCATCACTTATTTTTAGCTTATAAGTAGCTTATAAGCTCTATAAGCTCGATTGACATAATTGGGTCTGTTTGGATCAGCTTTTCTGCAATCGGGCTTTTGTCTGAAAAACTACAATAAGCTATAAGCTAAAATTAACAGCTTATGACTTATAGCTTATGGCTTATGGCTTTTGAAATATGGAGAGAGAAAAAGTTAAGAAATTTATTACCTTTTTTTGTTCTTATTATAAGCTTCAAATAACTAATTTGTAGATAATAAAAAATTAGTTAAAATTAGTTGAAAGTAATGAATAAGTTAGAAATATATTTTTATTTTTAAATATGCTCCTAAAAATATACTTTTATTTTTTCATGTTTCACTTTATATTTAAAATATTTTTATGACTTCTTCATATTAAATTATTTTAATTTCATTGTATTATGTGAAATTATTTTTTTAATAATGTTTTATTATTTATTAAAACTCATATTTATTTTGGTCATTTTACAACCAAACTTACTTTTATTCAATCATAATCCAAACAACTTTTTACTAATCTCACTTTTGCAATCTAGCTTTTCTGAATTCTAATCCAAACACAATTCAGCTTATCTAATTTAGCTTTTATCCAATTTCACTTCTCTATAAGCTACTTTTTCAATAAGCTATTTTTTCAATCGCTGATCCAAACGGACCCATAATTGGCCACAATGGCAACATTAGGAAAAAAAAAATTTAGAAGAAACAAAACAAGTTACTTTTCATGAAAGAGGAAATAAAGCAAATGGTAAACTCATAAGAATAACTCATAAGTAGGACAATGCAAAACTAGATTAGGAACTAAGCCTTTGACATTGCCTCAAGTATATAACCTAAATAGTTTCATCCATGAATTATTTCCCCATCACAAATTAATCCCTCGTATGCATTAAACACACTAACAAGGAGGGTTCCTCACACCGATCACATTTGAATCGTTTTAGTGAATTGAGTATTCAAACAAAGCAAACCCAAAGAAATTCAAATCTGACTTTGTTGATGTAAATAAGGTTCCTCACAGCAACAATGGAAGGGAGGAGAAGAGAGAGAAAATTTTATTAAATTCAATTTAAAAAAATTGAAGTGATGTTATAAAACTTTAATA